AGCAAAAACCCCACAAAACTCCTAGAGAAGAGAAAACTTAGTTGACCTTGGGTATGGTGATAACTTTTTAGATAAAATGCCAAAGGTGTGATCTAAGAAAGAATTGATAAGCTGGACTTCATTAAAATTAAAAACTTGTGCTCTGCCAAGGTCACCCTAAAAAGAAAAAAAGATAAGCCAAAAGGTGGGAGGATATACCTATAAAAGACATATGTGATAAGGGATTCTTATTTAAAACATACAAAAAAAAAATTCAGCAATAACAAAAAGAAAAACTCCATAAAAGTGTAAAAAAAAAAAAAACCCTCAATAGGTAGCTCACCAAAGAAAATATGCACATGGCAAATAAGTATAAAAATGCTCCACACCCCATGTCATTAGGTAAATGCAAATTAAAGCAATGAACTATCACTACTCCTCTATTCAAAGGGCCAAATTTAGAACGTCACACCTAATGCTTGTGAGAATATGAAGAACAGGAATTCTCGTTCATTGCTACTGAGAGTTCAAGACCGCATTTCACTTGGAAGACCATTTGACAATTTTCTTACAAAACTAAACGTATTCCTACTATATGATCCTGTAATAGTACTTTTTTGTGTCTACTCAAATGAACTAAAATCTTATGTTTACACAAAAACCCATATGTGAGTGTTTATGCCAGCTTTCTTCATAATTGCCAAAACTTGGGAACAACCAAAATGTTCCTCGGTAGATGGATGCATGCATAAACTGGTACATCCAGCAAATGGAATATTATCTGGGGCAAAAAATGATCTATGAAGACATGGAAGACATAGAGGAAACGGAAACCCATGTAATTTGGAAAAAAAGCCAATCTGAATAGACTATATACTGTAGGAGTGCAAGTACATGATTTCTGGAAAAGGCAAACTGTGGAAGCAGGAAAAAATTCAGTGGTTATCAGGGGTTGGAGGCAAGGAATAGGATGAATAGGAGGAGTGTGGAGAATTTTTAACACAGTGAAAGTACTCCTTATGGTACCGAAATGATGGATATACATTGTTCTATGTTTGTGCCAACTCATTAAACTTAAAAATACTGAGGGGATCCTAGTGTAAACTGTGGACTTGGGGTGGTAGTGTGTAGAGGGTGTAGGCTCACTGATTGTAACAAATGTACCACTCTGGTGTAGAATTTGGGTAGTGGGGGAAGCTGTGTGTATGTGAGGGTAGGGAAATATGTGGGAAATACATGTGGAAAATACTGTACTTCCTGTTCAACTTTCCTGGGAAACTAAAACTGCTCTAAAAAAGACAAAGCCTATGAAACTTGGAATGAAAAAGAGTGCATAGGAACTAAAATTCTGTTGAGGCCTGCAGTGTTTGTGGAAATCCATATTCTATACTCAGGTGATAAGTTTTCTTGAAGTACAGTTTTATATTGACAACGATTATCTTCAAAATTATGGAGAAACTGCTGCTTTGTTTTTCTCATTTTCATTCTGGTCAACAAATTTGGGTTCCTGCTTTTTAGGAGACTTTTGTTGTTTCTTTTAATTGGGTTTGGTGTATTTTCATCCATTAGCTTCTACATTCTGTGAGACTTTTTAATTTGGAAACTCATGTTCTTTATTATTGTAATTTTTTGGGAAATATTTGGTTATTTCTCCTACTTTTTATGTTCTTTCCTTCTGGTTTTTCTTTTTTCTTTGTTACATATTGGACTTTGTGGTCACTGTTTTTTTTCTCTATTTTCCACCCTTTTAAAGAACATCCTGTTTTATGAATACTAACACTTTCTCAGTTACCATGCTGAAGTCTTTTTTTAACTGCAGCATTCCTCCAAAAGATTTTTTTTTTTTTTTTTTTGCCTTTTTGACCTTATATTTCATGTTAGTCTTGGTTTCAGTTAAATCTCGGTTTTCTGGTCGTGTTTATGTATTGGACACTGATTGGATTTGTGGGTTATGTAGGTGGAGCTGTTTGACTTTGACTTTGAGATTAACTATATTTGGGGACCTCTGACAACAGAATCCTTAGAGCTTCTGCCTGGGAGGAATATTGTTTGGCATTCTTTCGGGCTACAGGTTTAAGGGCACAGAGGGTTCTTAACATCAGTGTGTGTATGTTATGTGATCAGTGATATTACTATAATCCCCATGGTAGATGATAAAGATAAATATTTTTCAGCAATTACACACTGATTTCTTCTTTTAAAATCTATCGTGCTAGTTGTTTTCTATTTGTCCCCTACGTTCGGTTTTTCTCCTGGTTTGCCTGTCTTTGTATTAATTTCTCATTTTTTAGTGATTCTATCTTATCATTAATTTATTTTAAACTTAAAAATGTTTACTGTATGCCTTGAGTGTAGAAAGTATATGCGGCCAGAGTCACCTTCAAATAGTAATATACCATTCATGAGCCCCTAGTAGTATACTACTGAAGGGGAGCTTGTAAGGGTGTAAACACTCCTGTTGAGTATGTGACCTCTAGGGGTTCTATATTCTCGAGGTCACCTTCATTCACTATTTAGCAATGTGTTGAAATTCTCCATTTATTTCTTTTTACCTGCTTGCGTGTCATCTGCTGTCTTGTTCTTGTGCTGTTTGTAGGTGAGCGGGTGTTGGCATCCTCTTTGTCCTTGGTGGAGGCATGTGTTTTCTTAGATTTATGGCTACTTAGTCAGCTTGTGACCTCAGCTACGGTGGGTTCAAGAAAAAGTTATGGTTTTGTAGTTTACATGATTTTTCTTCAGGAAAGAACAGTACTTTTTCCAGCTTTCCATCTCTTTCACAAAAGTAGAAATAATGTTCAGTGTTACTGAGAAATGTAGGAATTTAGAATTTGGTAGGTTATTAAATATGTATTTTTTGAACTTACTGCAGAAGTAAAAATTTTATTGTAGAAATTATCAAAACCCCCACAAATAGTTGTAATAGTAATCTATACAATAAATGACATGGTACTCTTTCTGCCAAGATTGCTCAGCCTCTGTTTTCAGTATATATTTCATATATCTGTCACTCAGAATTTTCTGTTTCCCATTGGCTCTAGTGACTTGTATCCTAAAGACTTCATACAGTTTGTGGGCTGCTGCCATCAACATGTGAGTGGCAGTAGAGCATCAAGTAATTCTCTTTTCACCACCTAGACAGGAGGAAATACCTGTTCCTTTGGTCTCCTCTCAACATGTACTTTTTGAGCACCTTTAAGGCTTTCCACAAATGTGTTAAATATCTTGGCTTTGAAAAGAGTCAAGAAAAGGGTTATTGCTGGCCATCCTCGGGATTTGACCATGTGTTAAAGAGAGCATTCGGTTGACCGATATAGATCTCACATACTGCTAAATGAGTCTGTACAGATGGTAGCAATACAAAGAAGAGGGTTAGCATTTGTCTTACTTGAATATAACAAATGTCGATAACACTTAATTTTAAAATTACATTGTCTAAGAAATATGTGATGTTAAGTAGTGTATCAGAATAGAAAATTTAAGCTGAGAGACCATTCTGGTCAATTTGGGACTATGTACACTGGGTGGTTCTATTTTCTTGTCCATTACTTTAACAACCCATTATAATTACAACTTTAGGATATCTAGTACAGCAAAACAGCCCTGGCAGTGGGTGCTGAATGTACTGGCCTTGATGAAGTCTTTCTCACCTGGATATGTTTGTTCTAAAACATAAATCTATCAGATGTCTGAAACTTCTCTGATTGTATACCACCTTTTTCCTAAAGGTATGCCTCCAGTTTTATTCAGTCTGTAGAATGAGATCAGAGATCGTTTCCTTTGCAAGGCCTCTCTATGCCTTCACACAGGATTAAGTATTTTATCTCCACGTCTACTTGTAGATATTCTAGTGTTGCATCTATCATAGTCTTTAGCAAAATATTTGTTACAGATCAGCTTCCTCTTTAAGTTTTGAGTCCTTGGGGTGCCTCGGTGGCTTAGTCAGTTAAGCAACTGCCTTCAGCTCAGGTATGATCTCAGGGTCCTGGGATTAAGCTGAGCTGCTCATCAGCCTCCCTGCTTAGCAGAGGCTACTTCTCCCTCTGCCCCTCCCCACCGCTTGTGATTTCTCTCTCTCTCTTTCTCAAATAAATAAAATCTTTAAAAAAGATTGAAAAAAAAAAGATTTGGTTTCCTTGAGGATCTAATAGACCTCTCATTTATCTTTAAATGCTTCTCCTAAGTATAGAGCTTGGCCATAATTGGCACCAGTATTGTTCAGCTGAATTGTTTTGATCATTTTAATAGTTTTGTTTAAAATGCTTGAAAAAAGTTGCTTGTACTTTACTAAATCTACGAGAGACCTTTCCATTTTCTTTTTTAAGATTGATTTATTTGAATGGGAGAGGGAGGGAGCACGTGCACAAGCAGGGAGAGGGCCACAGGGAGCAGATCTCAAGCTGACTCCCAGCTGAGCATGGAGCCCAATGGGGGGCTCGATTTCATGACCCTGAGATCATGACCTGAACAGAAACCAAGACGCTAAACTGTCACCCAGATGCCCCAGGCCTATTTTTATCTAATAATGGCATACTGAACTGTTTTCATGTTCAGAATCAAAATATAAATTTATAAAACATGTATTGTCATGTAAAATATTAAAATGAACAAAAGCTGTGACTTGCGAATATCTTAATATAAAAATAGCATCGGGTTGGAGTTCGATGGATACATTTATTTGAGATAATATCCTGATATAAAAAAATTTCAGCCATACTTGCAGGCATTTTAGAAACTTGTTGGGAAAGGTAGCTTATAATCAAAAAAAGTGTTCTGTTTATTTGGCCCCTGAAACTATTGAGTTTCAAGTTGAAAACTTAAGTTTCAAGTTCAAAACTTAAGGTTGCAACTTGCCTACTTCCTGTATCTTTTGACATTTCAGGCATAGGGACAATTATTATGGAACTTGATGAATCAGTAGTATCAGAGTTTGTGAGTTCTCTAGGCTTTTCCTTTTATATATTGATATGAAATAGAAGTTTTGCTTAAAAATGTATTTAAACTTTTTTTTTTTTTCTACCCAGTGTAGTGACTATGACTTGGAATTTGGAACTGAGTGTTTGCAGTTGGCTCTAAAATATGGTCACATTAATGCCAAACTTGTGGAAGGATCACCTGACCTCTGGAAGGTAAGGAAGTTGGCATTTGACTTTGGATTTTGGCTGTGTTTATATATAATTCCCAAGATACATTCTATAAGCATAAACACTTTCAAGGTGCTTAAGAAAATAAAGAAGTGTATAAAAATGCTTGGTTTCATACTGAACCAGTATTTTGAGGTATAAGGATATATATGTATGTATACTTTAAAGGCATTGAGAGTTTTACTGGGTTTCCTGAGAATCAAAGTATGTATCATTTTTATTTCTTGGTTTGCAGAAAATATACTTTGAGATAATTTATTCAAACAGATTCCATTTTAGCTGATAAGATGGTTTTACTCATTTTTTTTCCTTTTCTCTCTCTATATTCTTATATTCAGTTTCCTTAAATTTGGATTGAGGATGCAACTCAGCTTTTCACAGTAGCAAGCTTTCCTTCCAGGCCCTGGGGAGGTGGTAGCTCCAACTTAAGTGGGTTCAGGAAATATCTGCAGAGTCCTGACTTAGTGGGGTGGGTGACTGGACCCACTTGGTGGCCGCAGTAAGGTGTTAGACTCTTGAATGTAAGAAGGATTGACTCTTGCTGACAAACCTTTTTGTTTTTGAGGAAATGAAGTGATTGTAGCACTGTCCTACTAAAATGTCCAGTGGAGGCTGGAGTGTTTCACAGTGTGGCTTTCCTTTGTTCTGAAGGTAGAAATGTGTTGAACAGTATATTCTGAAATAGGGTAGGCTATTTTTATTTTTTGAAGTATTGCTGCTTTTGAAGTAAGGAGTGAAATCTTTATAATGCTTCCACCTAAATCTGGTAAGTTAAGATTCATCCTAACTCTAAGATGATACGAGTCCAAAAACATATTTCCTCATTGACTTAAAAACAAAACAGAAAGCCCTATAAGTTTATTACGTGTTCGATACAGTAACATGATGGGCCTTGCTATATGCTAAGATTGTCTCGTATATACTTAAAATGTTCTGAAATTACAAAATACTGGTACGCCTGGATTATTGCCTGGTAGAGAAGATTCATGCAGTATTATTATTCTTTTAAGGGTAACCAAATGTCTTCATCCCAGCAGGCAAACATTTTATTCATTTTGTGTTTCCTTTTTTGTCTATGGCTCAGATGATAGTAAACATATTGTGAGGACTACAGTGTTTACCAGTTAGGTGTATTGTTACAGATCCTGACTTGCATCTCTGTATAACCCCTTCTGACTGTGTGGTAGACTTACTTAGCAGACAACAGGAGAGGGAAGTGGAAACTCTCAGACAAGTTTTATTGCTACTTACATGTTCATTTAATACTCCATGGCCTCATTTTTGATGTCTTAAGGGTGTGTGGTGATCTATTTCTGTGAGTGTTCAGAGCCTTTTTGAAATTTGTCAAACCCCCTGAGATGTGCAGATGAGAGGAAAGTAACACATTGCTCTTGAAATTTTCCACTTGTTCCTCACAAGTTTGTTTGAATTTTGTTTTGGATTTTTTTTTTTTTTTTTTGAAATCTTCCTCTTTCACTGCTTTCTCCAACAACACAGTATTACTTCTCACGTCTTGGTGCTCTGCTTCCCTTTCATGGGCACCAACTGTCTGTGCTCTAAGGCAAGGGATTAGCTTTCCCAGGGCATCTCCTCCTCACTCTGGTAGGTCATTTCATCATGCCATTGTGGGCTGAATAGTGTCCCCTTTGAAGGAATGTTCAAGTTCTAACTCTGGCACTTGGGAATGAGGCCTTATTTGAAAAGTGTCTTTACAGATCTGATTGAGTTCAGTTGAGGTCATATTGACTTGGAGTAGGCCCTGAATTCAGCATGTAAGAAATGCAGGAGGAGGACAGAGAGAAAGGGAGAATGCCAGTGACAGGAAATACAGGCAGGAAATACAGTGCTGTGTCTAGAAGCAAGGGAAAGCGAAGCATGGCTGGCAAGCAT